CGGTCAAGTGCCCGGTGCACACCCCTTCAAGAGTAACCAGTCAAGTACCCGGTTATATGATGCAAATCTCATATGATAACTGGGTTAAGTCCCAAGAGTGGAAGGGTTTACATAAGAGTGGGGAGGGTCCTATGGAAAAGAACGCCGGCCCTCTTCAAATGGAAGGGTCACCAATTAAGGAGGCTTTCATGGTCGGGTCGTATTCCTTTGTGCTTGGTTGAACTTCTTGAATGGTTAAATTTTTTGCATGGTTATTTTCCTTCCTGGTCCCCCTTTGAAGTTGACTGGTTAGACTTGCATGGTTGTTTTCTTGCTTGGTCCTCCTCTGAAATTGCTTGGCTAGACTTGCATGGTTGTTTTCTTGCTTGGCCCTCTCTTAGGAATTCCTTTTAGAATGTCTCGGTCATCTCATGTCCTGGTCTTGAAAACATCCAGGTCTAGTAGGCTTGGTTGAAACTTTTGAAGGACGTCCGGGTCTAGTAGGTCCCGGAAACATCCCGGTCTAAACTTTTATTCTCATCAACTCCTGAAAAGTCCTTAAAACGTCCGGGTTATATCATGTTCTGATCAAGTGCAAGTCTTGAAAACGTCCGGGTCATCTCATGTCCTGGTCAAGTGCAAATCTTGAAAACGTCCAGGTCATCTCATATCCTGGTCAAGTGCAAGTCTTGAAAACGGCCAGGTCATTTCATGCCCCTAAGAAACATTTTAAGAACGTCTAGGTCATCTCATGTCCTGGTCAGATTAGTTTTGAAGGTGTCCAGGTTTAGCAACCCCTTGAAACGTCCAGGTCTAAACCTTTATTCTCATTCTCCAAGAAACGTCTAGGGCACCTCATGCTTGACTAGTCTTCTAGACCGGCTTACTGCTAGGTTAATGCTAGGTTGAGCTGCAACAAATGTCCAGGTCATCTCATGTCCTGGTTGATAGGCTAGGTTAGAAGTTTTGAAGAGCATCTTAGATGCAAGGCTTGAATACTTCCAGGTCATCTTATGTCCCGGTCTCTAGAGTTGAAAACATCTAGGTCACCTTGTTTTTGACTTGTCTTCTAACCCAGTTAACTTCCAGGTTGGAATGTTACAATCGTCTATGTTGAATTTGTTCTGATCAACTTCTAAAGGCTTGGTTGCACTACGTAACCAATCATGACGTCAAATTTTCTGCCCAGGTGCCGGGTCAAAAATGTGACCGGTCAAAATCAAAGTTTTCCAGATTTATCTGATTTCCTCAAATCCAACCGGCTAAAAAGTGACCGGTCATATTTGACCGGTCAAATTTTAATTTTTCCCATTCACTTTATCTTGCCAATCTAGAAAGCAAAAAGTGACCGGTCACTTTTGACCATGCCCTTTTCGTATTCCATCTGGCCTATCTGTCGTGTTCAACCCCGACTTTGATCAAACTTCGATCGAATGTTCCGAAACGGTTTTGTAATCATCAAGTCTCAACATCAAGACCCGAACTTTCTTTGGAGATTTTGACCATGTCCTATGATCGCGAACCCTCTCCAAGGTTCAGCCCTCTTCCAGGCAACACCCTTCTTCCAGGGCCCCTCTTCCAGGTTTTAAGTCTTTTAATGTGCCATTCTTTAATCATTAGGTTGACCTAGCCAACCTAATCTTCCCACATGG